TGGCTCCAGAACCCGGTGTCCCTCAAGTGTGCGTTGAGGCGCAGTATTGGCAGTCCGTGTGATTCAGACGCGGACTGCATGACCGTCTCAGACTCGCATAGGGTTTGTCAGGAGAGCACCTGTAGCTGCAAACTCTTCTATAAATACGATTCCTATTCTAAACAATGTTTGCCTAAAAATGTTTGCGATTCCGACAAAGACTGTCATAAATACGACAGAAACCGGATATGTGACGAATACGGGCTCTGTATCTGCGATTCTGGCTATTCTGCGGACTCCATGTCAGAAAAGTGTCACAAAATCTCCAAAACTATTAACAATCAAAATGAGGCCAATTATGATGAGGTCAACACTTAAACCATTTGCTTACTGAACAAACTATTAATAATTTGTTTTAAACCCTTTTAATTCTTATTTATTACTAACATTTGATTAATTAGAGAGCAAATGCTTTAGTGTGGTTAGTATGTTGTCACTTCTAGGAGTTTCAAGTAAAGTGATTGTGGTTTATATTAACCATTTGATTGTATAAACCTATTTGTAATATGTATTGAATTATCATAAGATTCATTAACTTATTGGCACCAATTGATTAGCACATGACTTCTCATTTTATCGGCACATCTCTTGATAATAACCATTTACTCAGATATTATTGAATTTGTTAGTTTTGTTTAAAGTTTTCTACGAATAATACGCTCTTAATATTATAACATTTTTATAAATAATTTAATTCTAATACATAATACATTTGTTTATATAAATAACTGAATTTAAAAATGTTTTTAAGTTAATAAAATTAATTGTAAATTAATTAAAAACTCGTACTTTTAATTTAATAATAAAATTTATTTGAAAAATGCAATTAATGTTGTGTTGAGTGTTCAGTCATTGTTTTGTAGGATTAAATGTTTGTTAAGGAATGACAATAAATGAGTAAACCTTTTGTAGTAATATAAATTTAGATTTGGATGAGAGAGAGAGAGAGAGAGAGAGAGAGAGAGCTATCGAATGAAATTCCTCTTCTTGGAGCAAAAGAGCATTAAAGTCAATGCAATTAAGATTAATTGGATTAAAGCTGCGATTAAACACAACAAACCAATTATACCACTTCTCAACTCCAGAAACTCTCGTAAAGCCAGTGCACAGCCCTTTAAGAGACAAATTTGTTTTAAAGTTTACTCTTTTCCACTCTTTTTATTCTCTATAAATAGCTTTAAATTTTCAATAATATTTGCTTTTAATTTATTGATTATATAATAAAATAAATGTTTATTACCTTTTGATTAAGAAATTGAGTGCCTGTCAGATAACATGAGGTCGGGATTGACATTCCATACCTCTGATAGTCGTTAAGTGATACAACACCACAACATCTCAACTGAATTGCAATCAAACATTCAATTAGACTTATATCGCATTCAAAGCTATTAATTTCGTATTCATTTCTGTTCATATATGAGTTGTTTGTTTGTATATCAAATTGTTGCTCACGTTTGAGACGCTAAACATGTTTATCATTAACTAATCTGTGATTGAAATCGTTGTCAATATTTATACGAATACTACTAATAGGCAAACAAATGGCAAAAATGAATATTTTGACGATAAATACGAGACAATACCTGTGCTCTCTAGTAATTAGTGATTGAATTTATAAAATATAGACTATATTGTAATGAATGAATAGAATGAGGAAATGACAAAGTTTTGGAAAGTAGTCATAATTATTGGTACTTTTCTGATTGTGTGCCAAAACTTAATCAGTGATGCATTAGATTTAATAAAATGATCTGTCATTTGGATGTTTTAAAAATAGTTTTATATGACAATAAAAATGTAGCGAACATTATATTTATAGAAATATTTGTTTGGATTTTAATATTGACTTTCTTTTATGGAAAAAAATTTCATTTGAATTCTATTGTATAAAGTATTTGAAAAAAATTCAATTAATATAGCGTACGAACAAAATATTGCTTTCACTGAATTGGGAGTAAAATTGCTTTTATGTGTAACTGAAAATCAAAATAGAGTTGAGTTTATTCTGAAAGAGTCTTTATTAAAAGGGGTGACACAATACCAGTGTAACTATGAGAGTTATATAACTTATATCTCAGACATACGAATATTGAATTCAGACATTGATTTGTGCTAAAAGTTCATTGAATTCATAGCAATGATGAGAGATTTCTATTTTCATTTTATTCATACGCTTTTAAAATAGTGAATGCATTGACAAAAAAACAGTGAATACCTTGACTTGAAAGAAGTCTATAAAACCGCGGGCCCTGTCGTCGTAGGGATACTGCTGTAACTCTGCAATCAGTTCTCTGAACGCAAAATTGTATAGCTTTTCAAACAAAGGGACAAAACATTATTAGTCGATAGGAAATGACATTTTTGCTAGAATTCACTTGTTGTCCGAATCCATGAAATATTCCCAAAGTGATCGTGGCCACTTGCAACCCAAACAGTAGTAAAAGTATTGTTCCGTACTATCAGTCTCTCTCTCTCTCTCTCTCATGGGCTGACACTCACTACTACTCTATCTCCAGTTCCCATCCGACCACACCATCAAAAAAAAACATTTAAAACTTCAGCAACAAATCCATGCGTTTCCATACAAACCACTCGCCGCTACCCATAGAGTGCGAGTGATTGGCAGTCCTTATGGTAGGGCTTCGGGAGCCCTTCAGAGCCCCTCCATAACCGCCGCAGAGATGTGGATGAGGCGGACCACCACCTGATCCGTGATGGCTCTCTGTGTGAAGACTAAATTTCCTGGATATCCAACTGAGACCATGAGCTGATCCACCGGTGACTGATTGGGCACCCATGCCATGATATATCACTCCAATTACGCCTTTTTGCCATAAACTATAGCGCCGGTGTCTTAGGGAACAGTATTTTTTGATATTCATATGTAATTTAAATTTTCGCTAACATTTGAAAAACCAATTTATAATTCATTCGTTATATTATTATTGCTTTTTTCTATGACTCTCATCACACAATTGAACAGTGAATTTGAATTTAAAATTTTTTATTTTATTTTCCCTTCAATTTTAAAGCGAGTTATTATAGCTGTCTATCGGTTTGAGTGTTATTTTTGCTGCAAATGTATTGTATATTTTTATCGTATTTTTCGCTGCAATTTTTGAATTGCTTGCAATTTATTTTAACATGTATTCACTCATTTCAATATTGGTTTAGCAAAGTGCTGTCAATAATACTTACAAACTCTCTCTCTCTCTCTCTCTCTCTCTCTCTCTCTCTAACAATTTTGACGAATGAGTATATATTTTGTCGATTGTTATTAAATATTAATATGTTTTGCCATCACTAATGTTATAATGAGAATAATGAATGAATAGACACAAGATTTATGGGGTAGGAAAAGGACATAATTCTCACTAAACCTCTACTAAACGCCCTTCAAATCATACAAAACAAAACAACATATTTGTTATTTCGGGTCAAAGAATCTCCAGAATTCACTGTCTATAACATAATAACAATAAAAATATATTAATATTTTCATTTCATATATAAATCTATTAGACTTAATGAGAGATAATAAAGTTTTGTGATAAAGAATTGAGTTATGAATTAAACCTATTGTTTGAATCAAAAACACAATATTTGATTCAATTTTCAGTTGAGCCGCGAATTCAATGCAGAAAATTTTAAATTGATTTTTATTACTATACATGAAAAATACGATTTCAATCATTTAATAGTGATTTGTTGTTAAGGAGGATGTCATAAATATTGCGCTACAAACACATTAATCAAATCATTTTATTATCAATAATAATGCAATTTCTCTATTAGTTGTCATTCAAATGACTACAAACTTTCAAATGGATATCTGTTTTGGAAATTCAAACAAAATATAAATTATACAACAAAAAACTTGTACTCAATGTTTGACTTTTATATGAATTGATAGCATACTAATAGCTGCCATGAAAAATGCTTGACTACAATATACTGCATATAAAATGCAATTTAAACACTTTTTTCGTATGTATTGATAGTATGCTATCAAGGAATTTACACTTTAAATTGTGGCACCATTATATTAATCACATAAATAATCGCCAGCAAAAACATCTTGAAGCAAAAATAAGATTTATTTTTCTAATACATAAGTAGACCACCGGCTAAGCGATGGATAAATTACTTCAAACTTATTATATAATAAGAAATCATCGCTTATTTTGAATAGCATGAGAGCACCGGTATGCCCAAGTATATATACTAGGCGTGTTGTTTTAACATGCATTTTAAATTGCTTATTGAAATCCATTTATAATGCGAAAAACAATACTATTTGTTACTAATTTTGTTGGTCATTGATTTAATTACATGTGTTACCCATGTTTACTGCAAAATTATCATTACAATTACCACTTCATAGCAATTATTGTTTAATTTTGTTATTTATTTATAATTAATTTTATTTGCCATTCATTGCCGCATTCGTACGATAATATTATTTCAAAGGCTTATATACTGTATATATTGTGATTAAATTCAATACTAGTATTCATAAGAGACTGAAAACTTTATCATAAAAGGATACATGAATTTTATGAACAGTTGATTTTTAACCTTATTTTTATACAACATTTATAAATTGTGCACAATACATCAAACATACTTTACATTACATGATGTAGTATACTGTAGAAAATGCATTGTATAATACACCATATATTTATATATATTACATGAATATACAGCGCATATATACATGTATATACGGGTAGTGAGTGATTAACTAACCGGAGGAGATGCCCCCGGTGCTGTCATATATGGCATTCACGTCTAGCGCCTGTAATGATGACAGATTATGGCGAGAGAGAGACAGCACATGGAGATAGAGATGGAACGGTACCTAATTATACACTATATGACTGCCGGTGACTGACATCCACATCAAATAAATAGTTATATTATATTTATATCGCAATGGGATTTACATGAATAGTGTCTATGCGTTTTGAGGGATGATTTTAAACACATATGTATTTCCCATCGATGTATAGATATATTCATTATTGAGTCAACAATTTTCAGTCATTATATAATATACTGTATATATAATAGCAGAATGTATGCACAGAATTTAATATATTTTTTATTATAACCTAATCTTAGTTTATTTTAATATTATTACACATATTCATACATCAGATTTGAATATTTTTTTTGTATACAAACTGTGTGAATATAGCTTATAAATGATTGCCATTGCAATTGGAAATCATTTTTTTGGTATTTACTATTAAATCTGATTTGCAATTCACGTGAAACACACTGATAATCGCTGCTATAAATTATTATACAAATACTTTGTATGCTAATCAATGGTCACAGAAATTCTCTACCTATCCGTACGGCTATACTAACAATGCATTGAAATAACATAAAAAAATATATAACAACAAAATAAAATCAAAAATAATCATAATAAATAAATGAATGAGTGAATCAAATGGCATAAAATACAGCCAGACATGCAATTATTGAATAGCACCGGTATGTTTATGTGCATGTCTGTGTGATGAATGCCCATTCGCACACTGAGAGCTGGATTTATATAATATATTACACATAATAGTTATAATAGTCATCAATATTTCATTATAACATATAATTTACAAGAAAATGCCTATTCCTACGGCTAGACCAGGGCTTAACAATTTGAATAATATTATTGTCTGTAATATAAATCTCACATTTAATAGCATTAGTTGCGGTAATACTTAAATAGTAATTGTGTCTTATTTTTGTTGAATAAGTGTTTGATATGTCATTCAAATGGAGATTCACTTTGTACTAGTCCCATTATAATATAAATATATTATATTTATTATACATAGTCTTATCTGGCATATTTAATGGCTGTCTCATTAAAAACAATTCACAATATATTGTATATATATTTATATCGGAACATAATATCAATTATTTTCTATCAAACAAATACATACATTAAATATATAATTATTATTAATGTTATGTCATTCATACACAAATATATTAATAATATAATAATAATGTTATAATATGTTTTTTTTGTGAAATACAAATGATTTATGCCCTGAACAGTATGTCTGGCTATCCTTGAAGTCGTTTTTGACGAATAATTATATTATATTCAGAGAAAAATGTATTTTTATGAAAATTTTTCATTTTTCTATACAATATATAATATATAACTTATGATTGAATATAATTTATGAACACATTGTTGTGCCAAATGAAAAGTGACTGACATTAATGGCTATAAATCATCGGGCATATAAAATTATTTTTTTGTACCATTTATAATATTATATATAAAATATATATGTATAAATATATACGTTTGAAAAATTGTTTAAAGTTTTTATGATTAAAATATGAGAAATGAAAATGAATTATTAGTTTGTTATCGTATTTCTTATGAGAGATTTACGATATAATCATAATATCGAAGGTTTTTCGCCAGTATTTCTCTTATATTGATTTACAAATCATATTTTGTGAAAAGCCATAAATAAATTTTCAAAATTTTAATTAATCAATAAATAAATATATATTTCCAATATGTTTGTGCGATTTTCACAAAATAAATGCACATTTTTAGGGCGACATAAATGTATATTTATATACATGTATGAGCCGGCATTTTATCGCGGCAATAAAATTTTCAAAATCTATAATAAATCTATAAAAATAAATAACAGACAAAACTTTTAAAACTTATTTTTATCACTCATTTTGTCAATATATAGAAATAAATACAAAATACATCATAAAAATCTCATTGATTACTCGCACACGAATTAAATGGCATTCAATAAAAGCAAATAATAAATAACAAAATAAAAGTTACAAAATATACTGAAAATAGTATGAATTTTACTAAAATTAACTGATATTTTATGGCATATTTATGTATGTTTGAGTTGAAACTAAAAAAGCACACTGGCAATTTATGACTTCCAACAGCAAATGTGTATTTATTTGCCAGAAATTATGATAGCACTCGAAGCCATGCCATTATACATACGATACTTATATGTATTCCTTGAATAAAATATACTTTTTTAACGCAAACTTTTTGCACTTTTAAAATAATTTTTTCATTTGACTTCAATATATAAATCATTTGTAACTCAATTGGGAGAGAGAGGGAGGGAGGGAGAGAGAGAGAGAGAGAGAGAGAGTGCAATATAAATGAGCTAGTTACATGGACTTTTTGAGATGAACTCAATGCNAATTTTAATTAATCAATAAATAAATATATATTTCCAATATGTTTGTGCGATTTTCACAAAATAAATGCACATTTTTAGGGCGACATAAATGTATATTTATATACATGTATGAGCCGGCATTTTATCGCGGCAATAAAATTCTCAAAATCTATAATAAATCTATAAAAATAAATAACACAAAAATTTTAAAACTTATTTTTATCACTCATTTTGTCAATATATAGAAATACATACAAAATACATCATAAAAATCTCATTGATTACTCGCACACGAATTAAATGGCATTCAATAAAAGCAAATAATAAATAACAAAATAAAAGTTACAAAATATACTGAAAATAGTATGAATTTGACTAAAATTAACTGATATTTTATGGCATATTTATGTATGTTTGAGTTGAAACTAAAAAAGCACACTGGCAATTTATGACTTCCACAGCAAATGTGTATTTATTTGCCAGAAATTATGATAGCACTCGAAGCCATGCCATTATACATACGATACTTATATGTATTCCTTGAATAAAATATACTGTTTTACCGCAAACTTTTTGCACTTTTA